ATGCGGCACATGCCGAAGACGTCGACGGGCTCGGCCTTGCCGCCGTCGCCGATGGGCGTGCCCGGGACGGCGACCAAAGCGTTGATGGGCACGGACTCCGGGTGCCCCCCGGGGAGGTTCGCGAGCTCGTGCAGGAGCCCGACGCGGTCCTTCTCCTCCTCGCCGAGGCCCAGGATGCCCCCCGAGCAGACGGAGATGCCCGCCTTCTGGACGTTCGCGATCGTCGCGAGGCGGTCGTCGTAGGTCCGCGTGGAGATCACCGACGGGTAGAACTCGCGGGACGTGTCCAGGTTGTGGTTGTAGGCCGTGAGCCCCGCGTCCTTGAGCTGCCGCGCCTGCTCCTCGTCGAGCATGCCCAGCGTCGCGCAGACCTCCAAGCCCTCGGCGTTGACCTTCTCGACCATCTCGAGGATCTCGCGGAAGGCCTTCTTCTTGTTGCCGAGCTCGCGCCAGGCCGCGCCCATGCAGAAGCGGGACGAGCCCGCGGCCTTGGCGCGCTTCGCCGCCGCGAGGACGTCGTCCACGGGCAGCTGCCGCGTCGGCTTCACGTGCGTCTTGTGCCGCACGCTCTGGCTGCAGTAGCCGCAGTCCTCCGTGCAGCCCCCCGTCTTGATGGACAGGAGCGTGCACTGCTGCACGTCCCGCGAGTCCCAGTGCGCCCGGTGCACGGCCGCGGCGTCGCGCAGGAGCTCGAGGAGCGGCGCGTCGTAGACGGCCGCGATCTCCTCGCGCGTCCAGTCCGTCCGCGGCGCGGACCGCCGCGCGACGAGGTCCTTGACGGCGGCGTCGTCGGCCGGCGACGCGTAGGTCGCGGGGCCCGCGGGCGCCGCGGGGGGCGCCTTCGTCACCTTCGTCACCGTGATGGACCGCGGCCGCGGCGCCGTCGCCCAGTCGGCCTCGGGCTCCTCGAAGACGCGCGCCGCCGCCGACGACAGCTTCCGGGGCACGTCGCGGGTCGTCGACGACAGCGACCGCCGCCCGGGGGCGCGCAAAGCGGTGCCGAGGCGGTGCATTGAGGCCATTGCACGCGACGCGAGTGGCGGACGGAATCGGGGCTCGACTAGAGCCGTACATCAACCTCGGGATTCTAGGCTAACTGCAACCAGACTATGTTGCTGCGATCAGGGCCAATCGATCCGGGCAGCCCTGGCACGACACGACGCGCCGTCTGCTGCCGCGCGCGTCGTCGACGTCTCCATGGCCGACGAGGACGAGGTGCCCGCCTGGGTCGGGGAGCTCGGCGCGGCCCCGAGCTACGTGCTCCTCATCACGGGCACGCTCGTCCTCTTCTGGGCGCTGAGCGTCGTCTGCGAGGAGCGCTTCGTGCCCGCGCTGTCGGTGATCTGCGAGCGCTGCGCGATCCCCGACGACATCGCCGGCGCGACGATCATGGCCGCCGGCGCGAGCTCGCCAGAGGTCTTCAGCTCGCTCGTGGCGCTCTTCATCACGCACAGCTCGCTCGGCGTGGGCACCGTCGTCGGCTCGGAGATCTTCAACCACCTCTGCATCTGCGCGGGCTCCGTGCTCAGCGCCAAGGGCGGCGTGCTGATTTTGGACAAGGCCATCGTCGCGCGGGAGGCTTCCTTCTACCTCCTGTCGTTGGTGCTTCTTTTATACTTCCTCACGTTGGAGTCCGCGCCGGAGTCCGACGACCCGGGAGGCCCGGCGCACATCGTCATCCGCTGGTGGGCGGGGTTTATACTGGTCGCGTGCTACGGCGCCTACGTCGTCGTCTGCGCGACGTTCGAGAAGATCAAGGCCTGCGTCGGCTACGCGCCGCCGCCGGGCGAAGACGAGGAGGCGGCGCCGGACGAGTACCCGACGCCGCGGAGGTCGTTCCGCCGGCGGCCGAGTTTGATAGAGGACGAACCGACGGCGAACTTCCACGACGAGTTCGAGGAGTCGCACGACGACGCCGACGAGCCGGCCGCGGGCGGCCGCCGGCCGTCGCTCGGGAAGCGCCTCAACTCGTCGACCATCGAACTCGTCGAGGAGATGAACCTCTTCGGCATGGACGCGAAGCTCGAGGAGATGGAGCAATCGCCGGG